TCCCCATCTGCTCGCCCTACCTCTGTGTGGAAATCAAATCTTCAACTCGACTTCAATGTGAGCGTATTCGAATGTTTTGACACAAGCACTTCCGCTGCGCTTCGAGAACTCGATGAGAGCAATCGATCCGTCCAAAAATCAGCCGAATCGACTTCGATTTGACCGAGCTAGAGAATTTCAAAGTTTGGTCGGGACGTTCCAAACCAGCGGTTGATTTGCACACAGGCCCTACCTCAACCCCGGGAGCGCGCCGGCGCGGGAACGCGTCACGGGCACCTTCATCTGGGCCTTCTGGCTCGGGCCCATGTTCGCGACGTCCTTCGTCGGCCTCGGCTTCATGTGCCACGTCCTATACGTCATCGCGCGGAAACCGACGACGGCCGTGTCGCCGCAGCACCGCGCGGCGCCCGCGGCCCCGCCGCCGGGCGCGGAGGCGACGCGGCGGTCGCGGTTCCGCAAGTCCCTGGCGTCCATCGCGGCGGCGGCGGCGAAGGCGCGCGCGTCGGCGACGCCGGCGATCTTCGACGACCCGGGCTTCGCGCGGAAGATGGGCTTCGCGGGCACCCGTGCGCAAATCAAATCTTCAACCCGACTTCAATGTGATCGTATTCGAAATGTTTTGAGACGAGCATTTCCGCTGTGCTTCGACAGCTCGAGGAGAGCAATCGATCCGTCCAAAAATCAGCCGAATCGACTTCGATGTGACCGAGCTCGAGAATTTCAAAAGTTTGGTCGGGACGTCCCGAACCAGCGGTTGATTTGCACACAGGCGGGCACGCCCCTCGTCTTCATCGTGCTCCACTGCGCGAACATGATCTTCATGTTCTGCTGCTTCGCCATCGCCGTGGACGCCATGGCGCAGGAGGCGGGGTCCGACGCGTGGGAGCGGTGGATCGCGTGCCTCCTGGAGGAGAGCTACTTCGACGGCGACGCGGGGCCCTGCCGGGGCGCGCCGGGCGGCTACCCCTACTCCAAGGTCGTGCTCTACTTCGTCTTCTTCGGCGTCGGCAGCGCCCAGGGCTGCGCCTGCTTCTTCACCTTTGGGCTGCAGCGCAAGTCGCTGGACGCGTGGCGGGCCTACGTCGGCGAGGTCCGCGCGCGGCGGCCGCGCCTCGACGCCTGCCTCCGGGGGCCCCGGGCGCTCATCCCGCGCCGCGTCGAGCTGCCCGCGCTCGCGCGCGCCGCGAAGCCGGGGGCCACCGTCGACGCCTACGACGGCGACGACGTCCGCGTCTCGGAGAACCCGATGCGCCTCGAAGAGGCCGCCGGCGACGAGGAGGCCGGGGCCGAGGGCGACGAGGGCGTGCTCGTGGATATCCCACTCGACGACACGCCGCGGCCGTCCGACGACGAAGCGGAGGCGCCGCCCCACGCGCCGCCTCCGGCCGCCGCGGCGCCGCCGGAGATCGAGTCGACTCCCGACGACGCGGCGCCGCCTCCGGACGACCCGCCTCCGGACGACGCGGCGCCTCCCGAGGACGAGTCGACTCCCGACGACGCGGCGGCTGCCGAGGACGAGTCGACTCCGGACGACGCGGCGGCTGCCGACGACGCGGCGCCGCCTCCGGACGACCCGCCTCCGGACGACGCGGTTCCTCCCGAGGACGAGACCGCCGCGCCGCCGGCCGACGAGGCCCCGGACGACGACTTCGCGCGCGCGCTCGACGAGCTCGCGCCGCCTCCGGACGACGCGCCGCCGACCGAGGGGGCGGCCGCGCACGACGTTATGGCGCGCGCGCTCGACGAGCTCGACGCCTACGACGACAAGGACCCCGACCACGCCGCGGCGCTCGTGCGCCCTTCGCAAGACGCAAGCGTGGTCTAGGGTAGAACGGAGCACAAACAGCCGTCGTTATCATCGCACGATGTCGTCGTCGAACCGCACGTCCACGGGGCCCGCTCGTCGGAACGTGGCCTCGTCGAGGAACGTGGACGGCGCCGCGCGGGCCCCGAGCTTGTCGCGGGCCTTCGGCGTCCTCGGCGCGCGCCCGGGCGTCCGCCCCCCGGTCGTCCCCGCCGAGCTGATTTTGGATGCCGGGCTCCCGCGGGAGAAGCCGACGGAGTCGACCTTGTGGTCGAAGGGCCAGTCCGGGTGGTGGGGCCCCGCGCCCGTGTACGTCGCCGCGGCGCCGAAGGTGCCGATGAAGTCGCGCATCGTCGTGAAGTTCAATTCGCCCCGCTTGATGTCGAAGGATCGCGCGCGCCCGTGCTCGATGCCGAATCTGCGCCGGTGCCGCGCGACGAGCTCGTGGTCGCGGAAGCGCCGCACGTTCTCGTCCTGCAGGCGCTTGTTCCAGGCCCGGTCCGCGGCGCAGACGGCCCCGAAGACCATGCACGAGCTCGCCGCGTGCGCGAGCGTGATCGGGTCGCGCCGCTCGCGCCGCGCGACGCAGCGCGCGTCGTCGGGCGCGTAGACGCGCTTGTAGTCGTCGCGGTGCGTGAGCACGAGGCGGTGGTTCGGGAACACGCGGCGGAGGATCGGCCACGTCGCGGCCAGCGGGTCGTCGAAGAACCTGCGCGCGAATCAACCAGTGAGGAGTCCGGTCCAGACCGTAAGATGACGCGCATAGTGAAGTCGGGTGGAAGCTATTCGGCACGGCGAGGAACGCGTCGAACGCGTCGAGCTTCGCGAAGTTGCGGCAGCGGATCGCGTCGACGACGACGTGGGGCAGGTTGTGCGCGACGTTGAAGCCCAGCTCGTCGAGGTACGCCGCGACGGCGTGCGTGCCCGTGTGCCCGAAGCCCGCGCCGATGACGACGGGCCGGAGGATCGGCTCGATCGGCGGCGCTCCCGCGTCCTCGAGGTACCCGACGGCGTTCCGCGTCGCGTTCCGGAGCCGCCGGCAGAGCGACGGGTCCTTGCGGAGCCGCTTCAGGCAGTTGCCGCCGACGGCGTTGTGGAGGAGGTCGCACGAGTCGTTCGCATCGGCGTAGCAGTATTTTCTCCGCTTCTTGTCGTCCCGCTTCTGCTTCCTCGCCTCGCGTGGCGTCGACGCGTAGTTTTTCAGCTTCTTGTCCGCCCGCTTCTGCTTCCTCGCCGGCGGAGTCGCCGCGACGGCCACGACGAACAGGTAGAGAAGCGACCGCATGTCTACGCGGGCGACGCCCGCCGCCCGTGGCCACCAGTGTCGAAAACCAAAAATTTTCGTGAGATAACCCGAGATCCGTTGAATCAAAAAGTTTGCACTTGAAGTGCAATGTTGAAGTTCAATTACCACGTTTCCCCGATTTTTTGCCCCCCAAACGCCTCCAAATCGCCTTTTTTCGACATATAACGAGCTTATGTTGACATGATTTGATATAGGCGACCAATTTTGCCGAGGTTCGACGACCTCGCCCCTTCCCTAGGCGTACTGGCGGCCCAGGATAGCTCCCTAGACGTACTCCGGCCGGCCGAGATAGTTAGTTACTTAATTCCTATGGGGCGCCCCAGCCCTATGTGTGGAATCGACACTGAGGATACCCCGCTGGTTGATTGTGATTGAACACAACACGATCTGGCCGGGGTCGGTGAACTCTCACTCGACGAGCGACTCGCGAACCTCGATTCGCTCAACACCTTCGGCGCCACCCCCCGAGGCGCGCGTCGGGCGATGCACTCTGAGGGGGGCGGGCAACGCGAAGCAACCCTTAAAACGGCGCGAGAGCGCGCGCGAAGCCCGCGCCGGCGCGCGCGAGACGGTGATGGCGGTGTCGAGGGCGATGTCAGAGCGCTGAGGCACGAGGTCAGAGCGATTTGGCCGGGGGTGGGTGAGGCCGGACAGCGACTCGCGAACCTCGACACCTCTCACGACCCCACGCATAGTTCCTCCGAAATCCCGGCCCCTTTGGAGGCCAGCACCCTGTACTCGTGTATTTACACTGTAGGGGCGCGCGACTTATCGAACTCATCGAGTCCATAGCCTAGATAGGGGCGCTTGCAATGGAATTCAGCGAGCCTGGCGCAAAAAAAAAACACAACGCCCCGGCGACGCCCTCCTTACGAGACGCGCGCCTTGAAGATCTTGATGGCGAGGGCGATGGTCGGCGGCTGGACCTTGTCCTTCGCGAGCCAGAGGATGTTCTGCTCCTGGGGCGCGTTGAGCGGGAACGACGTCGCGTCGGTGGCCCGCAGGCACGCGTGGCGCTCCCAGGGCGCGCCGTCGGGCTCGTCCGGCGGGTCGTCGACGACGTAGGGCCGCAGGTCGACGTCGACGTCGCCGAGGCGGTCCGGCGCGATGAACGCGCGCTTGTCGAGCACCGCGAGCCTCAGGCTCGACAACCCGGACGTCGCGTCCTCGACCTGGGCAGGAAAAGAGTGCGACATGCCCAACTTCAAAGGCTCCGATCTCGGCCGTTTCCCGCTCGTTTCGGCTGATTTTCGGACGAGCGATCATCTCTCGGAACGGTCTCGACGCGTGGATGCTTGTCCCGGAACGCGCGCGCGCGGCACACTCACGTTGAAGCGAAATTGAATCTCTCCGTTCCCGCCCCGTCGTCGACGTCCGCGCGCTCCGCGAGGAACGCGTGCTCCTCGGCCCACGTGATGGCCGCCTTGCCGAGCACGGGCCGCGCGCTCCGCCGCCGCGCGCCGCCGAGGGCCAGCGCGTAGGCGACGGAGTGCGGGAGCGCGTAGACGTCGCGGTTCAGCAGGTTCCTCGCGGCCTCGACCCGCACGACGACGCGCAGGAGGTCCGGCGGCGCGGCCGGCGCGGCGCGCGGGCCGTCGCGCCGCGTGTTCCTCGACAGGACCATGGCGTCGGCCCGGTGCGCGAGCGAGTGGCGGTGCGGCGCGACGTGGTCGCCGGCGTCCGGCCTAAAGCGCGCGAACGTCCCAACTCTGGAGGCTCCGATCTCGGTCGTGTTCCACTCGTTTTGGCTCATGTTTGGACGGGCGATGATCTCTCGGAGCGCTCTCGAAGCGTGGATCCTTTCTCCGGAACACTCGGGCGCGTCACACTCGTGTTGAAGCGAACTCGAAGCGCCCGCGTCCCGCGCCGGCGTCCGGCGGCGGCGCGTGGTCCTCCGCGGACCGCTGCCGCGGCGGCGCCTCCTCCTCCTCCGCCGCGTCGACGTCGTGGTGCGCCGCGTCGTGGTCCCGGGCCGCGCGCCGCTGCTGCTCGCGCCGCGCGAGGAGGCGCACGCGGACGAGCCAGTCCTCGAGGTCGTCGCGCGCGTCGTCGTCGCCGGGCCGCGGCGACGCGAAGACGAGGACGTCGCGCCGCTTCTTCGACGTCGAGTTGCCCGACGTGAGCACCAACGTCGGCGCGCCGGACTGGCCGCCGAGCTTGGACCGGGCCCGATTCGTCGCGGACGACGGCGACTCGTCGCGGGCCAGCGCGCACGACGCGCCGAGGAGCGGCACGGCGTGGTAGGGCGCGCCCCGGCGCAGGTCGGCCTCCGTCTTGAAGAGCAGCAGCTCCGTCGCCGTGAGGCTCGCGTAGCGCGGCTTGTAGTGGACGTGCTGGTTCACCGCGAGGCGCCGGTCGCCCCGGACGAACGCGCCGCGGAAGACGCCGCCGTCGGCCGCGTCGTCGTCGCCCTGTTCGCGCGGCGACGGCGCCGACAGCGCCTCGCAGGTCCAGGCGACGCGCGCCAGCGCCGACGACACCTTGCCGCAGCGCTTGAGGCAGAGGAGCACGCCCGACGTCTCCGCGCCGCGGCTCGACCCGGCGACGGCGACCTGCCGCGCGAGCTGCGCCTCGCGCCGCCGGAACCGCTTCTGGGCCGCCGCGTCCGCCGCGCGGCGGATGCGGTCCCGCAGGAGCTGCTGGTCGCTCACGAGCATGCGCCGCGCGACGGTGCGCCGCATCGCGGGGCCGTGCGCGACCGCGTAGAGCACCTGAAAAGCGTGATTCGACGTCGCTTCAACGGGAGCGTTCCGCGCGCGTTCCGTAAAAAGCATCCACGCTTCGAGGCCGTTCCGAGGGATGATCGCTCGTCCAAAAATCAGCCAAAACGAGTGGAAACCGGTCGAGCTAGGAGCCTGTGAAGTTCGCGCCCTTTTTTCCCGCGCCGTAGCGCGCGTCGTCGTGGCCCGCGACCGCGTCGCCCGCGTCCGGGAGCACCTCGAGCAGGCCGAGGGCCACGAGGTCGCCGACGGCGTCCTCCAAAGCGTCGCCGCCCAGCGACGGCGGCGCGCAGTCTTTGAGGAACGGCAGCGAGAACGCGTGGCCGACGAGCGCCGCGGTCTTGACCTGGGTGATGCGACGTCGCTTCAACGTGAGCGTTCGAGGAAAACAAACGTCCACGCTTCGAGTCCGCTCCGAGCGATGATCGCTCGTCCAAGCATCAGCCGAAACGAGTGGAAAACGGCCGAGAGAGGAGCCTTTGGGCCTGTCGCGCCCGTTTCCCGCGCCGGTCTTCGCGACGATGAGCGCGGTGACGTCGAGGCCGTTGAGCTTCTCCGTGAGCGACTGGCGGGACGTGTTGGCGAGCGGGAAGCGGTCGACGACGGCGACGACGCTCGACGACGGCCGCTTCTTCGCCGCGCCGTCGTCGCCGGCGTCGGACCTGGGCAGCAAAAGGGTGCGACATGCCCAACTTCAAAGGCTCCTATCTCGGTCGGTTTTCGCTCGTTTCGGCTGATTTTTGGACGAGCGATCATCTCTCGGAGCGCTCTCGAAGCGTGGGTGCTGGGTTTGAAACGCGCGCGCGCGGAACACTCACGTTGAAGCGACGTTGAATCACCCTTTTGCTGCCCTGCGTCGGACGCGCGCTCCGCGAAGTCGCCCGACGCGCTCCGCGGCCGCGCCGTCTCCGCGACGCGCAGCGGGGCCCCCGCGGACGTGCGCAGGCGCGCCCGCGCGAGGCGGCAGCCCGGGTGCGGGCCGCCGCGGGGCCCGAGGTCGTCGAGCCGCGCGGCCGGCCCGCGCCCGGAGGGCCCGCGGACGAGCGTCGACCCGTTGAGCTCGACGACCTCGAGCGAGGGCGCGCCGGGCCGCGGCGGCAGCCAGGCCCGGGCCCGGCGCGCGTCGACGACGCCGTCCTTCGCCGGCGCGGCCGCGAGGCTCCGCTTCCCGTTCGCCGACGACCGCTTGGGCGCCGCCGCGTTCGGGCGGCGCCTCGGCGGGAGGCCCGCGTCGCGGCGCGAGAAGCGCGCGTCGTGGTCCGGCCCGTGGACGAGCTCGTCTAAAACGTCCGCGGCGAGGCCCGGGTTGCCCCGCGAGTACTCGAAGACCGCGCCGCGGAGCGCGCGCGAGCACCTGCGTGGACATCAAATCTTCAACCCGACTTCAATATGCGCGTATTTGAACGTTTCGACACAATATCTTCAGCTGTGCTTCGAGAACTCGACGAGAGCGATCGATTCGTCCAAAAATCAGCCGAATCGACGGCGATTTGGCCGAGCTAGAGAATTTCAAAGTTTGGTCGGGACGTCCCAAACCAGCGGTTGATTTCCGCACGGGCGAGCGCGCGCAGACGCCGACGCCGAGCGTCTCCAGCACGAGGCACTCCATGTCCTCGGGCGGCAACCCATCCAGGCGGATCGTCGTCGGCGCCGCCGGCGCCGCGCCGCCGTCGCGCCGCGCGACCTCGTCGGCCTCGCCGTCGCTCGCGTCGTCGTCGCCGAGCAGGCACGCCGCCGCGGCCCGCTCCCGCGCCCGCCAGGGCGGCAGGCACACGAGGGGCCGCGTCGCGAGGACCAGCAGCCCCGGCAGCGCCTCGGAGCGCCAGAGCGCCGCGAGTTTCCACGAGGCGACGTCGAGATGCTGCGCGTCGTCGATGACGACGACGAGCGGCCGCGGCCCCCGCGCGGCGGCGTTCAGCAGGCGGAAGAGCAGGGCGAATTTCGCGCTCCCGTCGCCGCCGTCGAGGCGCAGCTCCGCCGGCGCCCGCAGCACGTCGCGGAGCTCGCGCCGCGCCGCGTCCCACCTGTGTGGAAATCAACCACTGGTTTGGGGGGTCCCCACCAAACTTCAGAGCTCTCTATCTCGGTCAAATCGAAGTCGATTTGGCTGATTTTTGGACGAATCGGTTGCTCTCGTCGAGTTCTCGGAGCACAGCGAAAGAGTCTTGTCCAAGTCGTTCGATTACGCGCACATTGAAGTTGGGTTGAAGATTTGATTTCCACACAGCGTCCCACGCGCCGTCGTCGTCGAGCTCCGGCCGCCCGAGCAGCGCGCGGCACGCGACGTGGCGGCCGCCGCAGGCGCGCGCCGCGACGACGCCGACGTAGTGCGCGGCCACGGCGACGAAGGGGCCCAGCGGCGTCGTCTCCCCGAAGGGCTTGGCCGCACAGAAGCAGACGACGGCGGTCCGCGGCGACGCGAGCGCCGCGAACGCGGACACCTGCGCCGACTTGCCGCAGCCGGACTCGGCCTCGACGACGACGACGCGCCCGTGGCGGCTGCCGAGTCGGGCCTCGGGCACGACGAGCACCGCGCGGCCGCGCCGCGCGGCCGCCGCGGACGACGCGCGCGCGGACTCGCGGCGCGCGGGGGCGCCCTCCGGCGGCGGCTCGTAGGCCCGGGGCACGACGTCCTCGCAGGGGTCCTCGGCGTCCATGGCCGAGCCGCAGGCGGCGACGTTGCACGCCCGGAGCGACGCGGCGATGGAGCCCGCGAGCCCCGGCGCCGGCTCCGGCTCCGGCGCCGCGCCGTCCGGCTCCGGCGGCCGCGCGGGGTCGTCCCCGCGCGCGTCCGCCGGCGGCAGGGGCAGGCCCGGCGGCGCGTCGCGCTCGGGGATCGGCTCCTCCTCCGCGGCGCGCTTCGCGCGCTCCAGCAGCGCGGGCAGGTCCTCGTCAACCGGCGCGTCGGGCGCCGCGGCCTCGAGGATGCCCCCGAGCGCCGTCTTCGCGAGGAAGAGCTCCCTCCGGAGCACGGAGACGCGGCTCGACGCGCCGAGCAGGTGGACGCGCCGCGTGAGCGCCAGGCGCACGCGGCCGCCGCCGGCCGGATCGCAGTGCGGCGCGGCGCGGCGCTCGTCGAGCGCGTCCGGCGCGATCCCGAGCACGGCGGCGACAAAGGCCTGGAGCTTCGTCAGCGGGAGCAGCGAGTCCGCGGGGAGCCAGGCGCGCGTGCCGCGCACGCGGAGCACGTAGGCGTCGCGGCTCGCGGGGGGCTCGCGCGCCTCGGTCGCGGGCGCGCGCGGCGCGAAGGCGTCGTCGTCGTCGTCGCCCGCGTCGACGACGGCCCGCGAGAAGAAGTGGCGGTTGCCCCGCGCCGCGCGCGCCGTCGACGTGAGCGCGCGGCCCTTGAAGAAGGAGGCCTCGCGCGGCGCGTCGCGGCTCAGGCCGCGCTTCGGGTCCTCGCTCGCGCTGCGCCGCGGCGTCCGGAAGGCCACGGCGCGGAGCGCGGCCTTGCGGAGCCGCGTCGCCGCGGGCGACGGGCCCGGCTCCCGCGCGGCCGGCAGCAGGCCCGCCGCGACGGCCGCCGCGTGCGCGCGGTCGCGGAGGTCGCGCATCGTCGGCCGTTCGCAGCCGTCCAGGTCGAAGGCGAGGCAGTCCGCGGCCGCGTCGCCGCCGAAGCCGAGTAAGGCGCCGCCCTCGGCGCACTCGACGACGAGACGCGACGGCGCCGCCTCGCCCGCGTAGCGCACGACGGCGTGGTCGCGGTCGTCGTCGAGGAACTCCTCGCCCTCGAGGCGCCGCCAGAGCAACCGGCTCCGGCGCGCGAACGCCGGCTCGCGCGCGACGAGCTGCCCCATGTCGTAGCCCTCGTCATCTAACAAATCGACGGCGTCGCCGTCGTCGGAGTCGTCGTCGGCGCCGGACGCCGCGGGCGACGGCGGCGCGCGGCCCCGCGGCGACATCTGGAAGAAGGACGTTGGTTTCCTCGTTCCCTTGGACGACGGCCGCGCCCCGAGCACGGACCTCCGGAGCCGCCCGTAGGTCGAGCCGCCGGGCCGCGCCTTCGCCGCGGCTCCGACGACGGCGCCGACGCGCGCGCGCGTCGACGAGTGCTGGACCTTGAGCCACGCGGCGCCGTCCGGCGGCTTCGCGCGGAAGCCAAAGGCCGCGCGCGCGGCCTCGAGGGCCGTCGCGGCCGCGCGCTGGTCGAGCTGGCAGGCGAGGTGGCGCGCGTAGACCGCGGCCGGCGAGTGGCGGTGGCGCGCGGTATGGCCGTCGGCCGTCCGCGGGTCGTCGGGCCAGTCGAGGGTCCGCCGCGGGCCGTAGGGGTGAAAAATAGAAATCTTCTCCGACTTGCCCTTGACCGTGATCTCGCCGAGGCTCGCGAACCGGAGCACCGGGCCCACGCGGTCCCGGAGCTTCGCGTCGACGAGCACGCCGCCGCAGGGCGCGTCTTCGTCGCCGCCGGCGACGAGCGTGCCCGCCTTCTGCATCAAGCGCGCGGCCAGGTTCACGGAGTCGCCGAGGCACGTGTACTCGCGGCGCTTCACGGACCCCGTGACGCCGCAGAAGACGTCGCCGACGGTGATGCCCACGGACGCGACGAGCTTTAAGTCCGCGAGGAGCTCGCAGAGCCGGAGCGCGGCGAGCACGGCCCGCACCGGGTCGTCGACGTGCGTCGTCGGGGGCAGGCCCCAGCAGGCGATGAGCGTCGACCCCTTGTCGTCGTGGAGGAACTTGTTGACGGACCCCTCGTACTCGTAGACGGCCTTTTGCGCCGCGCCGAAGGCGTCGTGGAGGAAGCGGAGCCGCGACCCGTCGGGGTCGCTGCGCGCGTCCGCGGCGCCGTTGAGCATGGCCTCGGAGATGCCCAGATTCACAAAAACGACGACGCAGGACGTGATCTCGTTGGCCCACTTCTCGCACTCGCGCGAGTCGCGCTGGAGCGCGGCGAGGACGCTCCGCGGGATGTAGCGCTCGAGCCGCACCTCCAGCGCCGCCTCGGTCTTCGGGTCCGTGGACGCGGACGATAAGCGGTCCTCCGTGAACGCCGCGATGCCCTGGCACCGCGTCTTCGCGTATCTCGCCTCCGCGTCGACGCGCACGAAGCCGCCGCCCGCGTCCTCCAATTTCCCAAAGTGGTCGCCGACGAGGGCCCAGGCCTCCTTCGAGCAGACGACGTGGCCCGCGGCGCCGTGGTGCTCCGCCCCGAAGGCCTGGTCCAGCGGGTCGCCGACGGCGACGTACTCCGCGCGGCCGTGGTCGCCGCCGACGTGGAGCACGGCGACGTCGCCGACGCCGACGCCGATTTTGACGGATAGATTGACCTGCGCGGCCTTGCCCGGCGGCGCGCCGCGGCCGTCGGCCGGCGCCGGGCCCGCGGAGAACGCCGCGACCTCCGCGTGGCTCTGGTCGAGCGCGCGCTGGATCTCGATCGCGCACTGCGTCGCGCGCCGCGCCAAGTCGCCGAGGTCGTCGCTCGGCGGCCACAGGACGATCATGGCGTCGCCCGCGAACTTGAAGATGTCGCCGCCGTTGCCCGAGATGATCTTGTTCATCTGCGAGAAGTAGGAGTTGAGGTGCGTCTTCAGGCCCTCGGCGCCGCGGCCGCTCTGCGCCATCGCCTCGCTGAGCTTCGTGAAGCCGGACACGTCGCAGAAGAGGCAGACCGTGCGGAAGGCCTCGCGCGTCGGCACGGGGCCCTCGAGGTCGTCGAGGAGGTGGGACACCACCAACGACGGCACGTAGGACGCGAGGATGTCGAGGTACTTCATGGTCGTTTCGCGGCGCGCGCGGTGCCGTCGACGTTGCGCGGTCGTCTACGGCGCGGGCTCCTGTTCCACGGCGCGCGGTCACACTGGTCGGCAGTCGCGAGCTACCAAAGACCGACTACAGCGCGGACTCCTTGGGGCCACTCCATGCCTGTCCGGTCCGGGCTGGCCGTAAAAAACATGCAACATGCACGGGAAACGAGCGTCGCTAAACCACCTCAAAAATCGCCTCGCAAAAACCGACAACTTATATGTATAACTTGAAGCATTTGCCGAAGGCCTTCGAGGGTCAGCTGAGACAGGGCAGGGCTCACTTACTGCTGGGCGGGGAGCCACTTCGGCCACTTGAAGCGGGAGCCGAAGAGGACGCCCTCCGGGTCGTCCTCGTCGAGCGCCTTGCGGACGAAGTCCGCGCAGGGCGAGCACTTGGCGAAGTGCTTGGGGAAGTCGCGGCTCTGGTGGGGGATGGAGGTGCGGTACGCCGTGCCGTTCGCGCCGCCGTCGCACGCCGGGTTCGGGCAATAGCAGTGGATCGTGTCATCCCGGGTGTTGTTGTTGTTGCCGACATAGTTGCTCGCGTCGGACTTGGGCTTCCGCATCTTGGCCTTGGTCGCCTCGGAGTGCGTCTCGCCCTTCTTGACGAGGCCCGTCATCTTGCCCTCGTCGTAGGCGAGCTTGAGCTTCTTGCAGAGCGCCTCGCGCGCCGCCGTCGTCATCGAGGCCCAGCGCTTGACGTTCGCGGCGCTGAGCTTCTTGGAGAGCGCCTCGCGCGCCGCCGTCGTCATCGAGGCCCAGCGCTTGACGTTCGCGGCGTTGAGCTTCTTGGAGAGCGCCTCGCGCGCCGCCGTCGTCATCGAGGCCCAGCGGTCGAGCATTTTCCGGGACCGCGCCTTCGAGATCTCGACGAGGAACGTCGCGTGGCCGTTGAACGCGCCGACGTGGAAGCTCGCGAAGAAGCTCGCGCCGGGCGCGAGGAGCGCGACGACGGCCGCGACGGCGGCGTCGGCCTTGACGTAGGTCGCGAGCGAGGTCGCGACCGTGACGATCTTCCCGTTCGCGATCTTCTTCGCGAGCGTCGCCGGGCTCGTCGGCAGCGCGAGGAAGGCCTCGGGGTGCATGAGCGCGCCGATCACGTCGACGAAGTCGAGGCCCGTGAGGTGCGCCGTGACGAAGGAGGCGGCCGAGAGGCCGAAGGAGACGACGGGGACCGCGCGGCCCTTCTTCACCTTGACGTAGATGAGGATCGCGACGATGAGGTCCCGGTAGAGGAGCGCGAGCTGCTTCGCGTTCTCGTAGCCCTTGCACACGCGCACGTATTCGTACTCCGGGTTGAGGCGCTTGCCGTCGGCGTCGTGCGTCGCGAGCTTGAGGCTGAAGATGTCGATGACGAGCACCTTCGCGGAGATCGAGCGGACGACGGCCGCCGGGAGGCCGATCGCGGACCAGAGCCCGCGCGTCGCCCAGCGCACGCAGCTGTTGTCCTTGTCCGTGTGCCCGTCGTAGACCGTTTTCCCTTGCTTGTCGACGTCGTAGTTCATGAAGAAGATGGCAGTGACGCCCGCGAGGACGCCGGCGCCGGCGCCGATGAGCGGGAGCGACGCGACGCTGAGGACGCCGATACGCCGCGCGAAGGCGATGTAGGCGGTCAGCGCGACGAGGACGTTCGCGAGAGCCACGATATCGGTGAGGTCGTCGGCGGGCGTGACGTTTGGCAGCGGCCCGAGGTTTTTCGGGTGGAACTTTTGCGGCGGCGGAGGCGGCGGAGGCGATTTCCGGCGCTTCGGAGGCGAATTCTTCGTTTTCGCGGCCTTGGACGAGCCGTAGGGGGCGCGACGAGCGTTGCCCATGATGTTTGAGAGGTTTTGAGGGGTCGTAGGCGATGCGTTCGGGCGGGAAGCGGTGCGACGACAGGTGTGCAAAAGCTACCGGTCACGGCAACACGAGTTCAAGCATCGGCGATGCAGTCGGCGAGGCGCCGATGCGCCGCGAAGCGCGCGCCTGTAGGCGCTTCCGCGCTGCTAGTGCCAGCGGCAGGCTTCGTCAAAAGCGTTGCGGAACCGCAGCAACGCGCGCGCGCGCGGCGCGGCGCGCAACGCGACGCGAGAGGGGGGGAATGAAGGCTCATCATGGCCGACGAGCCATCGCTGCCGCGCCGCGCGCCGCGCCCCGCGCCGCGCGACCCGCCCGATCGGACCTGCGGCCAGGTCCGCGTGCAGCGCCACGCGCTGCGACGAGGACTGCGTTGCGCTCGGCGCCGTCGGCGACGCGACGCTCGTCGCGCGGCGGCGGCGGCGCGAGACCTTCGGCGCGCTGCGCGCGGCTCTGCCGTCGGAGCACCGGCGACGTCGAGCACCTGGCGCGCATCCGGCGCGGCGCCGACGGCCTCCGTCTCGTGCTCGCGACGGAGGCTGCGTTCGACGCCTCGGCGGACGCGTCGACGCGTTCCGCGACGCGCTGCGGCTCGAGGCGCTGTCGACGCGCCCAGCGCGGCGACCTTCGTGGCCCTGGCGGCGCACCCGCGGCGCCGGCTCCTGCACCCCTTCAGCGACGGCGCGACGGCCCTGCGCTGCGTCGGCGCCGCGCGCTCGGACGGCGCCGCCGCGGACCAGCCGCTCGCGCGGCCGGGCCCCGCGCTCGCGCGCGCGTCCGCGGCGCTCCTCGTGATCCGCGGCGCGATGACGACCCTCGCCAAGGTCGCCGCCCACGCCGACGTCGAGGGCAACCGCGTCGCCGACGCGCTCGCGGAGATCGGCGCGGAGCGCCGGGACCACGTCTTCGACGTGCCCGCGGCCTTCGATGGCGCGGGCGCCGGTCGCGCGTGCCGCGCGCGCCGGCGCTCCAGCACCGCTACCTCCTGAGACACGCGTAAGTGGTCGAAATGGCCGGGGCATCGCACGGCGTGTGCCGCGGCAGCTGCCCCGGATGATGCGTTTAAAGCACTGACGACATGTCTCCGAGTCGGCCTCGAGCACCCGCCCCCCCCACGGCGCTCGTGGGCTGCAGCGGCCACGCCGTAGTAGGGGCCGGCGCCCGGGAGGCCTCCCGGGCGCGCGGGGCGTCGTGGCACCGTACGCCTCACCGTCGGCCGATTTGCAGTAGTGGCAACACGCGTCGTCGCTGCGGTTCGCTGTGCCTCGCAAACGCGTCGCGCCGCCGCGTCGAAGCGCCATGGCCGCGGAGCTCAAGGAGGGCCGCGAGCTCTACAAGAGCGGCAAGTTCGGCGACGCGGCGGCGAAGTTCGGGTCGGCGCTCGAGGACGACTCGACGGAGGTGGACCAGCTGCACATGATCCACAGCAACCGCTGCGCGTGCTACATGCAGCTCAAGGCCTTCGACAAGGCCTACGACGACGCCGAGGCCTGCACGTCCCTGAAGCCGACCTGGGCCAAGGGCTGGGCGCGCCTCGCGGCCGCGTGCGACGCGCTCGGGAAGCTGCCCCAGGCGGCCGCCGCGTACGAGAAGGCCGCGGAGCTCGACCCGGCGAACGGCGCGCAGCACCTCAACGACGCGGCGAAGGTCAAGGCGAAGGCCGACGCGGCGAACGGCGCGGGCAACTACCGGCGCGTGCCCTTCCCGGAGCAGCGGAGCGTCCAACCGGTCGGCGGCCGCTTCGAGAACGCGCACCTGATGGCGCGCGGCGCGGTCTTCGTCTACAGCGCCATCTACCTCGTGTCCTTCACGACGGACCTCGCGACGCTCCGCGCGCGCTACCGCTCCGCCGTCAAGTTCCTGTGTCTGTCGCTCGTCATGCACTGGGGCCGCGCGCACGGCCGCCCGAAGATGGACCGCGCGTACGCGCAAAAGTGCATGACGGACCCGGGCTGCCAGCGCCTCTTCGGGGCCTTCATCCTGCTCCTGGGCCAGGGCTCCTTCATCGCCCTGCTGCCCCTGCTCTACTTCGAGGCGCGGCGTCGGCGCACGCGGTCGTCGCGAAGCTGAAAAGCGTGGGCCTGAAGTCCCAGGCGCTCCAGGCGACGGCGGCGCTCGAGGGGACGCTGCTGGATGGCGACGGCCAGCTCGACGCCAAGGTCGTCGTGAACTGCGCCTACGCGGAGGCCGGCGCGGGGCTCCTCATGGTCCTCGAGCTCCTCACGCCGCGCCGCAACTTCATCCTCCTCGTCCTCTACTGGCAGTACATGCAGATGCGCATCATGCTCGAGGGCGCCGCGACGGGCGGCGCCGGCGGGCCCCTCCACGCCGCCTTCGGCGCCGTCGACGCCAAGGTCGTCGCCGTCGTCGGCAACCCCGCGTGCCCCGCGCTGCTCCGCGGCGCCTACGGCAAGATCAAGCAGCTCGCCAAGAACCAGGTCGCCCTCCCCGAGCCGGGCAAGAAGCCGGGCCTCAAGTGCACGATCATGTAGGCGCGCGGGCGCCGGACGCCCGCCGGTAATTGGCAGCGACGCCCCCGGCCACTCGCGTGGGCTAGGCGACCACCGACGCGGCCGTTACGCGCCCCTCACACGCCGCAGAGGGCGCGGCCCTCGGACGTCGCCGTCTTCCGCGCGGCGCAGACGGCGACCATGGCGAAGGGGACGATGGACGCGAACGCGACCTCGGCCGTCGACGTCCGAAAAACCAACTTCTGGTCGAAGGCCTCGCAGACGAGCGCCGCGGACACGACGACCATCTGGCACTCGCTCCAGGCCGTCGACAGGTTCTTCGCCGGCGCGCAGTCCACGGCGACGAAGTGGCTCAGCCCGTAGAGCCACGGGAGCACGCAGAGCACGTACGACGTCCGCGTCGGGCTCGCGCAGAAGGCGGCGCACAGGAAGTCCCAGAGCGCGAGCCAGCCCTGGTTCATGGCCATGTGCAGCACGACGCGCGACATCTGCTGCGGGTAGACGAAGTGGGCGTACTCGTAGTGGAGCTGCTTCGACGCTCCGGGGAAGAAGGCGGCGAAGGCCTCGCCGAAGTGGGCGTCGCCGCGCAGGCACCGCGGGAGCGTCATCCAGCAGCTCCAGAGCCGCCGCAGGCCCGCGACGACCATGAAGACCGTCGCGGCGTAGCCGAAGCCGCTGGGCTGGACCATCCCTGTTGGTGGCTGCCCCGAAAAATACACTGCTCATGAAGATGTTGAGGGCAACACGGTCGCGGCTCGAAGCACCGTATGAGCTGCGCTTAGTCAGGCCTGCCGCCAACCCGCTGCTAGAGCACCAAACGCTGCCAACACTCGCGCCAGCCCGCTGCTAGAAAACACCGAACGCTGCCAACGCCAACCCGCCGCTACAGCAGCAGCCAACACAGGGCACCGCCAATACCAACGCAGCGATGCGTCGCCTCATCGTCGCCTTGCTCGTCGCCGTCGCCTGGAGCTTCGGCGGTCCCGCGAAGCCCTACCCCACGGGCGCCTACGACGCGTCGTCGGCCCGGGCCTACTTCGGCCGCCGCCCGCTCCGCGTCGCCGCGCGGTCGCTGGAGATCCTGTGGCGGTCGGCGGGCTTCGGCGCGGCGCTCGCCGGCGACGCCCTCGCCGGCGACGGCCCCGCGGGCCCGCGGGCGGACGACCGCGGCCGCGAGCTCACGGACCTGCTCGTCGCGCTCGGCCCGGCGTTCATCAAGATCGGCCAGAGCGCGTCCGTGCGCTCGGACCTGCTGCCGCCGCCCTACGTCAAGGCGCTGACGCTCCTGCAAGAGGACGTCCCGGCGTTCGCGTCGGCGGAGGCGCGCGCGATCATCGCCGCGGAGCTCGGGTCCGCGGCGTCGAAGCTCCGCGACGTCTCGCCGGAGCCCGTCGCCGCCGCGTCGCTGGGCCAGGTGCACCGCGCGACGTGGGACGGGCGGCCGGTCGCCGTCAAGGTCCAGCGGCCCGACGTCGAGGACCGCGTGGCGCTCGACATGTACCTCGTGCGCGAGTTCGCGGCGCCGCTGGCGGCGAGCCTCGGCGCGCCCGGCGACGTCGTCGGCATCGCCGACGCCTGGGGCGCCGGGTTGGTGGGCGAGCTCGACTACGAGGCCGAGGGCGCGAACGCGGCCGCGTTCGGCGAGAAGCTCGCGGCGTCGTCGCTCGACGGGCGGGTCTTCGCGCCGGCGGTCGTCGCCGACGCGACGAGCCGCCGCGTACTCACGACGGAGTGGGTCGACGGCGAGCGCCTCGACGAGACGGGCGCGCGCGACGACGTGCCGAGGCTCGCGAGTTTGGCGATGAACAGCTACATGTGGATGATGCTCGACTCCGGGCTCCTCCACTGCGACCCGCACCCCGGGAACCTGCTCCGGGCGCCGGACGGGCGCCTGTGCATCCTCGACTGGGGGTTGGTGACACAGCTCGACGAGGACCTGCGGCTGACGCTCATCGAGCACGTCGCGCACCTCGTGGCGCGGGACTACGCCAAGGTCCCCGGGGACCTCGTGCGCCTCGGCTTCGTGCCCGAGGGCGGCGAGGACGCCGCGGCGGACGCGGGCGTCGTCGACCTGCTCACGCGGGCGTACTCGAAGCGCGCGGAGGGCGGCGGCTTCGCGAACTTCGACGTCCCCGGGTTGATCGACGAGCTCCGGGGCCTCTCGGCGGACGCGGGCGCGGCCATCTTCCAGATCCCGCCCTACTTTGCGTACATAGCCAAAGCCTTCGCGACGCTCGAGGGCATCGGCTTGGGCGTCGACCCGGACTACTCGATCCTCAACGACACGCTGCCCTACATCTCCGAAAGGATGCTCTCCGACCCGTCGCCGCGCGCGGCGGGCGCGCTCTCGACCTTCGTCTTCGGCGCGGCCAAGGACGACGCGCGCGCGCGCGTCCTCGACGCGGACCGCGTCGGCTCGCTCCTCGACGGCGCGCGCCGCTACGCGTCGACGGACGTCGCGGTCGGCGGCGGCGGCGCGGAGCGCGCGGCCGACGCGATCCTCGATCTCCTGAAGGACGACACGCCGGCGTCGCGCCTCGTCGTCGAGCAGGTCGCGCTCGCACTCGGCGCGCGGACCCGGCGGCTCTGGGCCGACGCGCGCCGGCGCTCGGGCGGCGCCGGCGGCGACCGGTCGGTGCTCGGGTCCTTGGTGGACCCGCTGGGGCTCTTCCGCGGGTCGAAGCTCGTCACGGAGGACGACCGCGACGCCGCGGCGCTCGACGCGGCCGCGAAACTCGCGGCGCTCGCGTCCGAGCTCCTCGGCGACGCCGGCGGCGATCCCGCGGACCAGCGCGCGCTCGCGTCGGCGCTCGCTTCGCGCCTGTGGGCGCGCCGCGAGGACCTCTCCGTCGTGACGAGGCGCGTCGCCGCGGAGTCCGCGCGGCAGACCGCGGACCGGCTCCGGATAAAATAAACAAGAGTAAAATCGCGCTACCTCGGCCGCGCGAGGGACGCCTTGACGCAGACGCCGAGGACGAGGAGCGGCGCGCCGAAGATGCCCGCGGCCATGATCGCCGCGAAGAGGAAGAAACGGATCGCGCTCTCCCAGCCCGGCGGGTCGCGCCCGGCGGGCTCGCACGCCGCGCCGCCGTCGGCGCCCAGCGCCGCCAGCGCGAAGGTGTGCTGGAGCTCGAGGCCGTCCTCGGAGAAGATGCGCGCCGTGAGCGTGCCGTTCGCGAAATCAAAGTCCAGCTCGCCGAAGTTGAGCCCGAGGTAGTTCTGCGACCGGCCCGAGCCCTCGTCCCTCAGCAGGTAGGGGAAGGGCAGCAGCCGCTGCGCGAGGCGCATGCCGTTGGTCAGGATGGGCGCCACCGTGTACTTTGGGAAGACGGGCGACTGGCGCGCCCAGGAGTGCGTCATGCCCGACGACGTGACGTCCAGCAGCAATTTCGAGCCGCAGCGCGCGCCGGCGATCTCCGCCATGTGGACGTCCCCCGAGACGACCACGGCCGACTTCGCCCGCGCGACGACGTCGATGAACCGCGCCTTGGCCTTCGGGAAGCGGCCCCAGTTCTCGGCCTTGCCTTTGCGCCACTCGAGCAGCTGCAGCGACGACACGAAGACGTGCGCGTCCGCCGTCGAGCCGCCGACGACGGCCTCGAGCCAGGCCCACTGCGCCTCGCTGAGGAAGTCGCCGTCGCCCGCGGGGCCGTCGTAGGGCGTCTTCGCGTAGCGCATGTCCAGGGCGACGACGAGCACGGAGCCGCCGTCGAGGTCGACGGTCCGCGCGCTGTAGACGCCGGGTTGGCCGCGGTCCGCCCGCGGGAACGCGGCCTTGAAGGCCGCGAGCGACGCGTCGCGGAACTCGAGCGTCGCGTCCGCGTCGTTGAGGCCGAAGTCGTGGTCGTCCCACGTCGCGATGACGGGGATGTCTCTAGCGAGGAGCTCGTCGTAGCCGGGCACGGCGTTCTGCCGGTCGTAGGCCTCGACGAGGTACGCGGGCCCCTTGGGCTTGAACAAGACCTTGGGGAGCCACTCGGCGATGTAGTCGCCGTAGATAATGTCGCCGCCCCAGATCCACGCGCTTGGGTTTCTCTCGAGCACGGACGGCCAGAGCGGCTGCGGCATGTCGTGCTTGTTGCACGACCCAAAGAGGATGCGCGTGTTCGGGGTCGCCGCGGCGCAGGCGCCGACCACCAGCGCCCACGCCGCCGCTCGCATCGTGGACCGCGTGCGCGCGCTCGCCGCGGCGCACATGCCGAGCGACCTCACCGCAAAATGCGTCGAATCTCGTCGCACACCAATTGCCCAGGATTCAACATCGCGGATTGTGTCGGCGATGAATCAAAGGTGCAGCCCCCCGGGTGATGGGCTGAGCGCGCGGACGCGGACGAAGTGCGCGCCGGGCCCGCAATTGGAGCTCTGAAACCTCGACGGCGCAGCGCGCGATGAGCGCCGAGACGATCGTGCGGCGCGCCTTACGAAACGCAAGCCAGCCGGAGCACCTCATCGACCAATACACACCAGACGCGCTGCGCATCATCAACAATTTTGTCGCAGACGGTCACAGTCCGGAGAAGGCGGAACAGCTCTTGACGGTCCTCATACGACAAGCCGCGCTCTCCAACGAGCCCTGGGGTGAGGGCGTCGCGCCCGAGCCGGCGGCATTGACCGACGCGGTCGTGAAGCGCACCTTCATGGAGGTCGCGGAAAGTGAAAGACGATCTCGACCTGCGGGCAAGGTATTTGGATCTACGGATGACCACATGGAATTCTTGGTGGGGGCCTTGGCGGCGCGCCTCGGGGAGTCGGACGGAGGCGAGCGTCTGAGGAACGACTTCAGGCCTGCCATCGGAGAGGCAATGCGAGATTTCTTGCTTCGGCTCGAGTCCGAGCAGGCCGCGTCCGAGCCGAAGCCGGAGCAGATCGTGGAGCCGGAGCAGATCGCGGAGCCGCAACCGACCGCGAAGCAAGCAATGCTCTCGCCGGAGGACATCCACAAGAAATTCAGCGCTCTGAAAAAGCCGCGGCGCGCGTTCGCCTTGTTCGCCCGCGACAAGCGCCCGGCGTTGGAGGAGCGCGGCATGTCTCTCGGCGAGATCGGCACGGCGCTGCGTCCGGCTTTCCTACGCGCGACGACGTCACGTCTCCATCCCCCCGTAGGTCTGACGCTTGGCAAGATGTGGAGCTCATTGGAGCAAGACGATAAGGAGGAGTACGAGGGCATGGAACAGTACGATAAGTATCGCTACGACACGGAACTGGAATTTGCAAACTTTTCTCGGGGTGGCAAGTCGATGCTCAATTTTCCTTTGTCCTGGATATACCCATGCACCGGCCCGCGCGACTTCTTCGACAATTGTCCCGCCACGTGGAGACTGGACGAGAGAGGCGACGGCCATCGAGATGATTATTACGCGACGGTCGCGCTGCCCGAGGTCGCGCTGACGAGCGGCAAATGGTATTACGAGGTTACGATCCTGAAAGTGCCCGAGGCCCTACAATTAGGCTGGGCGCGGAGTGGTTTTTCTGCGAATCCGGAGGGCGGCTGCGGCGACGACGAGTTTTCCTACTCGTGCGACCGTGTCCGCTGTCTTCTCTGGCACTCGGAGGAGGACACGCCGTGGAACGCCTGCTTCTACGGGCCTGCTTCCGAAAAGGCGACGGATGTGGGCGACGTCATCGGGTGCATGCTCGACCTCGACCGTGGCGAGATCCGCTTCAGTATCGACGGGCTTGTCGAAGAGGAGCCTGAGTTCCCCGAAATTTCCCTCGCGAGCGGCTACTTTCCCGCGCTGACGATGTCGGTCGGCGAAATCGAGATCAACTTCGGAGCTGAGGGCTTCCGGTGCCTTCCCGAAGGCTAAGCGGCTACAGCAGCATTCCCAAACGCTTGGCGGCGAACGAACAGGAGCTGGCGAAACAGCTGAAACTGCGGGAAAGCCTGGCAGCGACAGCGGAACAGGTAAAAAGGACTGAGCTCGTTTGAATGAGCTGGGAAACATTCTTAAAAATCCCGACCTCAGCGGCGCGTTGGCCGTCCTCGAAATCCTCGACAGGACCGACGCGGCGCGCGGCAGTTCCGAGGTCCCGCCGGGCCAGCGCGACGCCTCCGAGTCCGGTACCTCCGGATGGCGACACGCTACCGTCGAGGACTACGGGGTGGCGATGCGCGCCGCTCTCGAGGAGCTTGCCGAGAGCGACCGCCGCGAGATCGAGTGCTTTCGCCGGGAGCAATGCGAGCTCATGGCGGAGATGGAACGCGTGGATCGCGAGGTGGAACGCGAGCATGGTGTCGTTCTTCCGCCGGTAATTCCGGGCCCAACGGGATGAGGAACGATGACACCCGGCGGGGTTGGAGGGCAGCTTCCCAAATGTAACATTGTGAATCGACGCGGGGTGCAATATTTAGCGACGAAAAGTGCAAGCGCTCAGCTCGCCAGTTGAGCTGTGCACAACCAGCCGACAGCGGCCTCAAAACTACGCCCCCCCGTCGCGCCGCAGGAGCCACGCGCCGTCCGCCGGCGCGAAGTCCGGCGGGCTGCCCGGCCAGAACCGGAGCGCGCCGCGCGGCGCCGGGCCGGCGACGACGTGGGCCTCGCCCCGGAGCACCGCGAGGCCGAGCGCGGCGTCCGCCGCGGCGCCGAACCAGGCCGCGCGCGGCCCGACCTCGAAGCCGCAGGGCAGCGCGGCGACCCAGCGCCGCGCGGCGTTCGGGGCCGCGAGGCTCAGGACGCCCGCCGCGCGGCGCGCGACGAGCCGCGCGCCCGCGCCCGCGCCCGGCGGCGGCGCGCCGTCGCGCACGTCCGGCGCGCAGGACGCGGCGACCTCGGCCGTCTTGAGGAGCGCCGCGAGCTGGCGCGCGCGGTGCGCCGCGGCGACGGACGGCGCGTCGACGCGCCGGTCGAGCGCGAAGGCGAGCGCCGCGACGGCGTCGTGCGCGTCCGCCGCGACGTCCGCGCCGACGGCGGCCTCCGCGGCCTCGAGCGCGCCCGCGGCGGCGCCGTGGGCCGCGAGGCTGCGCCGGTAGGCCTCGCGGAGCGCGTCGGCGTCCTCGCGCGACGGCGGCGGGCCGAGCGCGTTCGCGGCCGCCGCCGCGGCGAGCGCGTCCTGGAGCGCGAAGCCGGCCTTCTTCGCCTCGCCCGCGAGGTGCGCGAGCCTGTTCTCGGCGTCGCGCGCCGCTATCAGCAGCTTCTCCGACGGCCGCGCGTCGACGTAGGCGCGCGCGTCGGCCTCGAGGGCCGCCTCGCGCGCGAGCGTCGCGTTGAGCTCCGCGACGGCCGCGTCGAGGCTCGCGAGCGCGCGCGCCTCGGGGTCCGTCGCGAGGGCCTGCGCGACGGCGCGGTGCCGGTCCGCGGCCTCGCCGAGGCTCGCGCTCAGGTTCCCGTAGGCGTCCGTGCCGTTCTCGGGCACGAAGCCCGGCGACCCGTCGACGGTCCGCTCGTGCTCGAACTCGGCGGTCCGCGCCGCGCGGGCCGCGGCCTCGCGCGCGGCCGCGTAGGCCGCGACGACGGCCGCGTCGCCGGACGCGTTCCCGACGCGGCCCGCGGCCGCGGCCCAGGGCTCGAGCGCCGCGAGCGTCGCCGTCGTCGCCCGGGCGCGGCCCCGGAGCCGGCGGAGCGCGCTCCGCATCTCGTGCTTGAGCGCGGACCAGGGCGCGCACAGCTTGTCGACGCGCTTCCGGCCGACGGTCGAAGACGCGTCGCCCTTGACGCGGCACGCGCCGTCCTTGAACGCGCGGGCCACGGCGGCGTTGCGCTTCGACGGGTTCTCCAGGATGTCCTTGTGGTTCCAGTCGACGGCGCCGTAGGTGGAGAAGTACGTCGTCGCCTTGCTTGTCGCCGTTCGCACGAAGTCGTCCGCGACGCGGCCGCCGTCCTTGTCGAGGAGGAGCGCCTTGTTCAGCTTCGACGCGGCCTCGGCGAGCCCCTTGCGGCAGTCCTTGCAGTCCGTCGTCGCGTGGTCCGGCCGCCCGTACACAAAGGGCGCCACGAGCCCCCGCAACCCGAACGTCTCCTTGCGGTCGAGGCGCGGCAGGCGCTCGAAGCGCCGGTCCACGGCGTCGAAGGACGCCTCGGCCTCGGCGAGCTCCTCCGCGGCGACGGCCGCGCGGTGCGCGAAGGGCGCCGCGTCCGCCAAATAGGCGGACCCGGCGACGGCGAGCTTGCCGTCGAGCCACTTGCGGTCGTCGGCGTCGCACCGCAGGTCCGGGCGCTCCGGCGACGCCTCGCAGAGGCCGACGAAGACGGACCGCGCCGCGGCGGCGACGGCCCGTTCCTGGGCCTCGCGGTCGCGCCGCGCGCGCGCGAGCATGCCGTGGACCGCGTCCTCGCGCGCGCGATGGACGGCGGACACGGGCTCGACGCCCGCGGCCGCGCGCCGCGCGTCCCGCGCGCGGTCCTCGGCCTTTTGCATGGCCGCGACGGCGTCGTCGCGCTTCTTGAGGGCGGCCGTCGTGTTGAGGACGTCGTAGGCGTATTGCGCCTGGTGCCGCGCGCGGCTCGCGTCCGCCGCGGAGAACTCGTCGCGCCGGAGCCGCCGCGACGCGTCGGCGAAGGCGCGCCGCGCGCGCGCGAGGTCCGCGACGGGGCCCCGCTCCAGGAGCCGCAGGGCGCCGCCCGCGCCGGCCGCCGCGGCGCGGACGCGGTCCGCGGCCGCCGCGCGCGCGCCGCCCGCGGCGACGGCCGCGGCCGCGAGCCGCAGGAACTCGGCGAGGGCCGCCGGTGACCAGGCCGCGCCCTCGACGCTCGTCGCCGCCGCCGCGTCCCGCGCGGCGCGCGCCGCGGCCGCGTCGGCCTCGAGGCGCGCCGTCTCCTCGGCGCGCGCCGCGGAGAGCGCGGCCGCGAGCGCCGGCGTCGCGGCGCCGTCCAATTGCCAGAACTTGACGAAGCGCGCCGCGGCGGCCGTCGCGTCCTCGCCGGCGGTGACGTGCGCGGCCGTCTCGCCGCCGTCGACGGTGACGACGACGGACGCGCCCGGGAGCCGGCCGCCGGGTCGGCTCGCCGCGGCCGCGGCCGCGGCGTCCGCGACGGCGGCCTCGAGGCCCACGCTCGACGCCTGCGCCGCCGCGGCGTCGAGCACGGCGCCCGCGAGCGGGCCCTTCGCGCCCGCGTTCGCCACGGCCCGCCAGAACCTGGCGCGCGGCGACGACGACGTGCCGTTGGCGTAGCGCCGCGCGGCGACGACGCCCGTGACGAGGAGCACGTCGCCGCCCGCGCCCTTCGGCGACGCCGCGCAGCGCTCGAGGGTCGCCGCGTCCAGGCTGGCGGCGCGGCACGACGCGGCGGCGATGGCGACGAGCGCTATGTGGAGGCAGCCCATCGGATCGATTCGATGGGTTGCGGGCTGTGATTAGCCTAGTCGGTGTTTACCCTTGGTTGAATATGTGTTGCATGCCTTGCTTGCCGAGCTTGTGAAGCGATTAAGCCCTGCGCCGCCGCGCGCCGTCGCTGCGCCCGCCGAGCCGGTGCCGCCGAGGCCGCCGTGCGCCGTCGACGCCATGGGCCGCGTCCACTACAGCGGCGTGCGGGCCGTGGGCTTCCTCGTCTACCTGCTCCTCGTCGGCCTCAACCTGTCGGCCGTCGGCTTCCTGTTCCGCAAGCTCGGGAGCCTCGTCGGCCTCTGCGCGGCGCCGACGCACACGGAGTTCATCGAGCGATTGATGTCCTGCATCCGGCCGGTTATCGGCGCGCGGGGCGTCGCGCCGCGGCCCGTCGACAAAGACGGCAAGCTCCGCGGCTGCGTCGTGCTCTGCAACCACGTCAACTGGAGCGACTTCGTCCTCGACATCGCCTTCGTGCCCGACGGCGTCTACGTGTCGCGCAACGTCCTGAAGCTCGTCTTCTTCCCCGGGTCCCTGATCCGGTCCTGGCTCTTCGGCGACATGATCTACTTCAGCCGGGGCAAGAAGGACGCGAAGCGGCCCCTCTACGACGCCGTCGCCGCCAAGTGCGCCGAGGGCCGGTCCGTCATCGTCTACGCCGAGGGCACGCGGAACCCGACGGGCGAGAAGATGCCGCTCCGCGTCGGCTTGATCAAGCTCGCCTACGACCGGGGCATCCCGCTCTACGTGTCCATGGTCTCGAACAAGTACGCCATCGTCGACGAGAAGGCCTTTAAGGTCACGCTCGGCGAGACCATCGAGAACAAGATGTCCAAGCTCGTCCGGCCCGAGGACTTCGCCGACCTCCAGGCGTTCCTCGCCGCCGCCCAGGCCGAGTGGGACGCCGTCTGGGACGCGCTCCGGAAATAAACGCGGGGACTACCCGGGCGGCGGACGCGGCCGCGCCGCCTCGAGCTCGGCGACGGCCGCGGCGAAGGTCGGCCGGTCGCCCGGCTCGGGCGCGCGCATCTTCGCCGCGAGCGCGGCGACGGCGCCCGCCGCGGCCGCGTGCTTCTTGGACGCGAAGGTCGCGATGGCCGGCAGCGCCCAGACCTTGGCGCCGACGTCGAACGCGTGGGTGTGGGCGCCGACGGGCGCGCACGTGCCGTTGGGGAAGCAGTTCCCCCGCGCCTCGGGCGCGCCCGCGCTGCCGGCCTCGCAGCGCCGGAAGCGGTTCTTCGCGACGGGCCGCACGGAGAGGATGTTCTGCGTTTTCGGCGGCCGCCGCGCGTGGCACCTGCGTGGACCGTACTGAAGCCGCGTCGCGTCGTCGGTTTCCGCGCGGCGCGGCACGCGTGCTCGTTGAGCGTCGCCGGGCACGGCTCCTTTTTCGAGCAGGGCCCCGTCGAGGCGGGCAGCGCCGGGAGCCCGCGCCGCACGAAGAAGTCGCGGATGGGCCCGGCGAGCGCCTTCGGGCCGTCGACGAGCCAGATCTCGTCCTTTCGCTCGTCGACGGTGAACTGCTTCACCGCGAAATCGTCCAGGAAGAAGCCGCCGCGCTCCGCGAAGCTCTCGAAGCAGCGGAGGAGCGCGGCGGCGCAGGCGAGGGGGTCGCGGCGCGCCCAGGCCGCGTAGGCCTTGGAGGGGCGGCTCCGGTGGCCGACGTCGCCGTCGCCGTCGCCGAGGCTCGACCCGGCGAGGTCGACGGCGTACGTGACGCGCGTGCCGTTCGCGTCGAGCCACGCGCCCCGCAGCCGCGGGACGCCCGGCAGCCCCCGTAAATACTCGAGGTAGAGCACCTCGCCGCGCACCTCGCGCTCGTGATAGAGCGCCTCGCCGCGGAGCGCGGCGCCGCCGGCCCGTTTCCGGTCGGCCTTGTAGAGCTTGCGCCGCTTCACGACGACGTCGTCGCCGCCGAGCGTGGCGCGGTGCACCTCTTTGTAGAAGCCGCTGCTGAGCTTCGTCCATTTTGCGTCGAGCGCCGCCGGATCCGTGGCGTCCCAGCGGCGCGGCGGCGGCGCTCGGTGGTGCATCCAGGCGTCGACCTCGACGACGCCGGCCATGTTCACCGTGCGCTTGGCCGCCGCCGCGGCCGCCAGCAGCAGTCGGAGCCAGCGACGCATCATCGGGCCGCGCGGCGCGTCATCACGGTCTTGCAGGGGCTGCCCATGCTGCTATGAGCTGCCCATGCCGCTTCAATAGCGGCAAGTTACCTTCAATCATCCATCCCCGCTTCGAGTCGAGCTGTGAGGCCTCTCCGCTGTCCTGTGCGCGCGTTGCCAGCGCGCGCTGCCATTCGTCGTCGGCGCTATCCAGCAGTGGCGTCAGCAGCTCGTGCAAAAAAAAGACGATGTGGCAGGTGAGGGCGGCGGGCCTGCTCGGCGCGGCGTCGGTGGGCGCCGGCGCGTACGGCGCGCACGGACTCGTGAGCCACGACGACGAGTACCGCGCGATCTGGAAGACGGCCGTGCAGTACCACCAGGTGCACGCGCTCGCGCTGCTCGCGACGGCGGCGATCCCGTCGGCGCGCGCGCGCGCGGTGTCGTCCGCGTGCTTCGTGCCCGGCGGCGCGGTCTTCTGCGGGAGCAACTACGTCGTCGCGTACAAGCAGGACCGGTCCTACGGCGGCTGGGCGCCCTACGGCGGCACGGGGCTCATCGGCGGCTGGCTCGCGCTCGCCGCGCTCTAAGAGTTTTCCAAATTACGCCTCGTACTCGACGTCGAGGTCGAGCGCGTGGAGGTGGTCGTCGCGGCAGCCGAGGAGCACGCGGCGGCCGGCGACGACGGGCGTCGAGAAGACCTCCGCGGGCAGGCGCGCGCGCGCGAGCAGGGCGCCGTCGTCCTCCCGGAGCACGACGACGACGCCGCCCGTCGTCGCGGCGACGAGGACCGCCGCGACGCGCGCGGGCGCCGCGAAGAGCTTGCCCGGGAGCGCCGCCGTCCACTCCTTGGCGCCGTCGCCGCGGCGGCGCCGCGCGAGGCGGCCCCGGTCGTCGCCGAAGTAGACGGCGGCGCCCGCGACGAGCGGCGGCGCGTAGACGGGCGTCCGCGCGCCGTCCGTGAAGACCCAGACGCCGCCGCCGTCCGCGGCGCTCACGGCGCGCGCCGCGCCGCCGACGTCGCCGTAGTAGAGCACGCCGTCGGCGAGCGCCGGCGTGCCGTAGACGGGCGCGCCGCTCCGCCGCGCCCAGCGCCGATGTCCCGTGTCCGCGTCGAGGCCGACCAACGCGCCGGCCGTCGTCGCGGCGACGACGACGTCGCCGGCGACGGCGGGGCTCGCGTAGACCGCGCCGCCGAGGTCGCCGCTCGCCCACCGTCGCGCGCCCGCGCGCGAGACCCGGTAGACGCGGTTGTCGTGGGACCCGAAGACGACGTCGCCGCCGCAGCGGACCGCGGCGCGCTTCACGGGGCCGCCCGCGGCGAAGGTCCAGGCGACGGCGCCCGTCGCCGCGCGCAGCGCGA